GATCTCCTGCGAGTCGATCCGACCTGAAGCACATGGACAGGTCTCTGTGAGCTTCATTGGGACACAAACYGTGTTAAAGATCATTGTAGATCTTCTCACCATCGTTCTTCTTGTCCAGACTCTTGAAGACCAGCCGCAGCTTCTTCTCGTGGTCTCGGAGGTAGTGGACAAACTCCTCAAAGTCCAGCTGCCCGTCCAGGTCTTTGTCTCCGGCTTTGACTATTTTCTGAAACAAAGAGTCAAAAGGAGAGACATCTGAGACCAGCTGAGACCATCTGGGACCATCTGAGACCAACTGGGACCATCTGAGACCAGGTGGGACCAGCTGAGACCATCTGAGACCAGCTGGGACCATCTGAGACCATCTGAGACCAGCTGGGACCAGCTGGGACCAGCTGAGACCAACTGGGACCATCTGAGACCAGCTGGGACCAGCTGGGATTTGTCGACTCAGCTTCCAGTTTAATTCATTTTACAACCATAATAGTCTGTACCCACAGCAGAACCAAACCAGAACAGGTTCTGTTTGGGACCAGAGACAACTTAAACAGTACCAAACTAAAGAAACCCAGAACCCAGGTCCACCAGAACCAGACTGGTCCCACCTGACTGAAAACCAGCTTCAATAAATTTATAAATAAAATTATTACTGAAGGATTTTCTTTTCTTGGGTTGAAACTTTCAGATGTTTAATTTTTTTTGTTTGGATTCTGTCCAGAACCAGAACCAGAACCAGAACCAGAACCAGAACTGCTGGTTTGTTTTACTTTGAAAAGTCCTTCAGGAGTTCTGTAGAACTGCTGATGAGGACCACTTTAACGGATCGCTGGAGGAACAGATCCATGGACTGGATMAGGCAGTCCTCAGGTTCTGATCCACCCGACCCGACCTACAGTACCTGCTGAATGTCTGTCGGTGCCGTCATCATGATAAAGGTTCTGGTCCTGTTGGGGACATTCTTGGACCTGGTGGTTCCCTCAGAGGAGCAGGAACTTTGTCCCTGCACAGTTTGACAGTCCTGTGTGTCCTCTGAGACCGGGTTCTGGGCAGGTTCTCCCTGAGCCCGGCCCAGGAGCGTGTGGCACAGGAAGAACAGGACGTCCTGCAGCATCCTGGTACCAGTCCAGAACTCAGTCCGGTCCGGATCAGTTCCTCTGACTCTGCTGCATGAAAAACWGGATCATGTCCAGGTTCTGACCGCAGGAAGAGACAGAACGTTCTCAGGTCCAACAGAACCTCTCAGGTGGATCAAAGCCAGAAGCTTCTAACAGAACCATGTGGTCCAGAACCGGTCCGATCAGCTGCAGAGTCACAGCTTCCACCTCTCTGACAGATCAGCAGCAGCAGCCGGTGAAACGCTGCACCGTCATCCTCCAGAACCTGCATCCTCACTGCAGCCGGCCCGACCAATCAGAACCGCCCACACTGCCGGGTGGCTCCGCCCCTCAGCCAATGAGCAGCGAGGAGCAGCAAGGCTTTCATGTGTGCGTCAAAGAAGCAGGTGGGGGAGGGGGAAACTTTAGCTGATGTTTTCTGTTTTTAGCTGCAGCAGCTCAGTTACAGCTGCTGTAAAAACATCAGCTGAAGTTTATAACGACTTCCTGAAACCTGATACCTTCAGCTGTGAGTCACTAACTACAGAAACATCTGATGTCAGCTTAACCTAAACAACACACAGGTAAACAGACAGGTAAACAAACAGACAGGTAAACAGACACACAGGTAAACCAACACACAGGTAAACCAACACACAGGTAACCAGACACACAGGTAAACAAACACACAGGTAAACAAACACACAGGTAAACAAACAGACAGGTAAACCAACAAACAGGTAACCAGACACACAGGTAAACAAACACACAGGTAACCAGACACACAGGTAAACAAACACACAGGTAAACAGACACACAGGTAAACAAACACACAGGTAACCAGACACACAGGTAAACAAACACAC